GATAGATAGATAGATAGATAGATAGATAGATAGATAGATAGATAGATAGATAGATAGATAGATAGATAGATGTCTGCCATCTACTGGTCAAATAGCCTCATTACACGAGTACTTTAAATGATCAATATTTATTATACTGCCATCTGCTGGAGAGAAGGTTGCATTGACGTTAATTAATTCTATCCAGCTTCATTATTAAAAAATAAAAATAAAAAATCAAATCCTGTCAGAGGTGGGTAGAGTCAAAGATAGTAATACGCTAATAGTATTAATTTTTATTGATAATTTCTATTAAAAATAAAAAACTCAAGTAAGAGAATCATTACTTCAACATATTTAAAAGTACAAGAAGCGAGTCAAGAAAAGTATTTAATCAGTATTTAATCAGATCAGAAGTTACTCAAGTACTTCTGATCTGAAAGTCTGATTTAATATTTAAAAATGATGCCATCAGTCAGACAAAAGTATACATTTATATTTATATCTATAATAAATAAAAGTTCATATTAACTCTGGTATAATTATACCAGAATTTATTAATATAAATACCAAAATTGTGTAAATTCTGGTATATTTAAGACTAAAATGGGACTAAAATGAAAAATTTAAAAAGTAGAAACACTTTCTAAGTCAAAATGTTTTCATATAAAATTAATAAAACTGATAGCAGATCATATCTCTCTATCACAGAACTTACAAAATACTTTTGTGGCAATATAAATACAATGTTTACTGTATCCGTTTTGAAGTTGACCTCAAAATGGCTCTAGAGAGCCAACAAACCTGTTGGATGAACAAGAAGTCTCACTTTGACATAAACTGCAGATCTGTGTCTGGTGAAGTTTTGGTGAAAATATGTTTCCTCTTTATTTAGAGAAGTTACTCACACAAGGCAGAGTATCTAGAAATTTTCCTCAAGTAGAGATACTTCAGAATAATAATATTAAAAAAGGGGAAAAGTACAGTGCTGTAAATCTACACCTAAAAGTATATTTTTTGTAAAAATGATTTTGTATTTAGGTTAGAGAGTAATATACAAATAAAATGTTTTTATTGTATCAAATTTTTCATTTTTCTGAAACCTAAAATTAAATAAACATTTCCAGTTATTTAATTTCGACTATTACACATCAACAATAAAGGAGTCTGAAAAACAAAGAAAAATGTATATTTATTTATTCTTTAAAAAAACGTGCAAAAATGGATCCCTAGACTGCAGTCATAAAACTGTTTACGTTTTAGTTCATCTTATTTTATTTTACAGAATAAAATAAAAATAATCCTTTATTTGGGGAAAAAGTCTGAAAGTAGGTTCACACAAAGATAAAAATATAAAATAAAATATAAAATATTTTTATATTTGTAATTTATGAATTAGAAATATACTTTTGTAAATTTAATTAGTACGTTTTATAATTTGTAATATACAAAACTGTTAATTCAATTTAATCATACTTATTTTATAAAAAATAAATCTCCTTTATTGTTCTACAGTCAGAAAAATTCAGCAAAGTATTCACACAACGATAAAAATATAAAATAAACATGCGAAACAAAATTAAGAATAACTGTACGGTGAGAGCAAAATTGGAAAATAAAAACTGCAGTTATGAAAAATAATTAACTTTGATCCAAATAAATGTGCAACTGAATAGAATTATTTAAAAAACAATATTTACAACAAAATAAAAGCCCAAGTGTAATGTTATTTCATTTTATTTTACAGTTTTGGTCCAAAATGACCAAAATCTGCTGTGTCAGTTGTACAATGTGTGACATAATTCCTATTTTCAATTTTTTTTTAAATTAAACTTTTGTTTAATGAATAAAATATCAAACATGTGAACTTTTTAAACATAAACAAGTCATAATTTTAAAATCAGTTGAATTTTTTTTCAAAACAGTAAGTTTTTTTTTCTTGTTGTTTTGTTTTGGTTTTAATTCATGACAAATTGTGCTCTAAGGTAAAATGACAAGAAATATGTTTATAATCTGTCCCATTTGAATCCATCCTGTGTGTAGCAACCCACAGAACACCTCAGATGTCTCTAGATATTACTGCGCGATCCCGGCGGCGGAGGGATATCTGGACCTAATTACCGGCGGTGAAATCAGAGTTTATTGAAGCGCAGCTGTGATTTTGTTGTTTTTTTATATTAACTGCGCTCAGATGAAGAAGTGATGAACCGAATATCTCCCTGTCAAGTGTGAGGTAAGAGTTGTTCATGTCTGCGACATAACGTCAGCTGCTGAATCAATATGAGATAAAAGTTGTCACAAAGTGAGTTTAATTAAGCGGAGCGGCTTATTGAGTCATTAGTCACCTGCTGCTACCTGTCGAGCAGAGGAGAAATGAAGCAGAATGACTCAAAATGTTGAGCTCATACTCTGTCTTACAAAAAATGACAACTTGTGATTTCCTTGTAGAGGTTGGAAGTGAGACATTTTGTTCCCCAGAAAGATGTTTTTATTTCACCATTCAGGATGCAGCTTAAGCATTTTCTAAGTTAATTTCTGCTGCAAACCGCCAACATCTGGAATGTTTTCTTTCAGTTTTTTCCTGCTTTGCGCCAGATTAATGAAGATAATTCATATATGTACCTTATTTCCCCAAATAACTGTTAAATTAAAGCTTATTAATTTAACAGTTGACTTCAATCTAGACATTACTTGGCGATGAGAGATTCCCAAATAATGAATGCATAGTTCCCTTAAGTCTGAGCGTAACCGCCATCTTGGTAGGCAAGAGCAGCACAAATCATAAATGAACCATAGCTTTGAGACCAACTAAAAGAAAGTGTACACCCCAGTCAGAAACCAGTCAGAGATGTTTTATTTAAACCAGCAAGTTATGAAAAACAAATGTAAATATTGTTTTTATAAGTGTTTTTAAAAGTTGCATCATTAACCTAAAACGCTGCAGTCCAGAAGCTGATCTGTTGGATGGGAAAAACAACAGCTGAAAGAATTTGCAGGGACAGGAAGTAATAAAACATAATTTATTTGGTTTTACCAACAAGACTTAAGATTTGATATCGGCCAAGTTTATATGTTGGAGAATCTTTAATGTTTAGTGAAACTTTATATTTTCCTTCTAAGATGTAATCAGGTTGCAGATTTTTTTAGAGCCAGTCTTTATTTTCTGTTTAAACAGATGAAATCCATCTGAATACTTTAACAGATGTAGCTAAAGTGAACAGACCAAAGGGTGAAGGACTGGCCGGATTGCGTAGGACGCTCTTGTCTCCTTGTGTGAAGTGTTTGTTCCGGTTGCAGAACCAGATGACTCTGTGTGAATATAAGTGTACTCATCCTGTCGTCTTCGCAGTGAGGCTCTGAGTCACAAACGCTGATGATGTCAAGCTGCTCGTAGTGTCTGATCTGCAGGTTGCAGCTTGAATTATGGGCTGAATTACAACTCCAAAGTTTTTCGTTTGTGCACAGGTGGACCGGTTTGAATCTGTGCAATTTCTTGTAATTATTCTCACGTAACTCCGTCATAAACTGGCAGGTAATCAGGAAAAATCAAAGGTTTCTGTGAGGTTTTTTTTAAAAAGTAATTTTGGTAGGTCACCCAAGGTTGGGTGATGTATCTTAATTGATAAATTTTTTTTAATGTTTTAATTTGACAAAATCCAGATTTTTTTTTCTCACCAATACACTCGTTGGGTTTCCATAGCTCAGTGATGTCATCGCCCCCGGGCGGCCACCTTGTTTGACCAGCATGTTTTACAGTGTCTGTTTGTAAGGACTATGGATTCAGGTCAACTCTGACAGAATATTAGGGAAACTATTTTTTAAATTCAGAGAATAAAGTCGCACTATTGGAACACAGTTGTAGTAACAAAATAGTCAAAATAATGTGAGAATAAAGCATTAAATTTATCAGAATAAAGATTTTAATTTGGTGAAGGAAGTAATTTTGAGAATTTCTACATGAAAAAACAACGTGAATGACGAATGCTGAGCATCTTGTGAAGCTAACGTTTGGTGTTGGATTTATTAAGGTAATTTGAACACGAATCGAATTATTTTTAGCAGTAGGATTTAGAAGCTGTTTTTCTAATGACTATTTCACCTCAGATCCTGATAATGAAGCTTTTTGTCCTCATTAAAGCAACTTTTTTATCTTAATTTTAAGAATTTCTTTTTCTTTTTGGGAAAATTTCACCTTCTTCTGCTAATATGACTGTTCTTGTAATTAAACAGAAATTCCTGTAACGTGGCCCTATTTCTGCATTGTACAACTCTGAGATGTAATTGAATTAAAAAACACTTCTTAAAAATATCTTCTGTAATTGAAAGCAGAGGCAGAAATTGATTTGAAATCTTTTTTTCTTTCCTTTTAAACACTGTACTGCTCAGCTCTAGATAGGAGTTGGATGATTGTATCTATTTTATCTCTTTGTTTTATTGGAGTTTGTTGTTTTGACTGAAATGGGGGGGACAATTTCTCATGCTTTCTTTTTATGGAGAGAAAACATCAAGTCTCTGAATCTGAGATAAACCATTGCTAGCTTCCTGGTTGTTGTTTTGACATCATTCACTGTGGAGTTAAAAGTGAGTTTATGTATAGAGGTGGAATAAAGGAGATTGTTGCATCTTTTAAATATCTAATTTATGAACTGCCTCTCTGCACTTTTCTCTCGTTTTGCTACAGCTTCAGAACAAGAGAAACTGAAGTTGCATTTCTTCCACTTGAACTCGCCTCCACCTTTTGGTTTGTCACTTAAAACTGAAACCAAGAGTATCGTTTTATTGTTTTTCCTTCTTGGGAATTCCTCAAGAATCCTCCAGGCTGCAGTGTCCGGGAATTTCTGACAGTTTTTTCCTCCAGACTCGCAGAGGAGTCATGTGTTTGGGATTAAACTGTCATATTTAACACTAATGGAGTTTAAAGACTCCAGAAGCACCACAGGATCGATGCTTTTATCAGTCTGATAACTTGCACTCCTTCTCTATGCGATAATTATGGCTAAAAATCAACAGGAAGTAGTTTAATAGTTTAATTCGCCTGATGGAGCACATGAAATGTGTAACTTTTGGATTATTGCTGAAACGATGCATTGTGATGAATCTATTATTGAAATAAACTAATTTAGTAATTGGTTAACTGGAGCACAGACTCGAAATCAGTTTTCTGAAAGAACACATTCAAAGCGGTAATTAAGTCAAAATTGTACAAAAGTACACACATTTTGTATTTAAAATGTAAAAAAGATAGTTTTAGCTTTGCCTGGTTCTATTTCTTTAAATAAAACAAAATTTCATATTGAGTAACTTTCTGTACAATTATTAACCAGCTAACCCAGAACAATGGTAAACAGATGAGCTCTCGCTTTATTGCAGTTTTTCTAAATTTCCTGTCATGTTAATCTTGCGAACCTGTGAAGAAAACAAGTTTTTTAGTTAAAACAGATTAAATTTATACTACCACCGAGCAAAAACAACCTGAAACTGGCAGTTATTTCCCCCTGGTTTTTGTTTTTACAGATTTTTTTTTCGTAATGTTGGGGGAGGATCGTCTCTGTGTTGAGCAATTTTGATTGCTCATGATTTGACACAACTCGTCCTCCTCTTTGGTGAAGTCAGGCGGTACTGTGAGCGAGTCACATCCTGCAGACTGTTGACCCTGTGAGAAAGTGGCAGCCAGGATTCGGTCGGCTTCCTGGAATCCACAGTGGGATTTCCCCCCTCCTAGCCTCCCACTTCCCTCCTCCTTCTCTCCACTTCCTGCTCCATTCGGGTCTTTGTCGCTGCGCCGTCTGCTTGTCTCGCTCCCCCAGGTCATCCTGAATATCAGGGGGGGGGTGGGGGGGGGGGAAACACCTGTCAGGTGTAAGTGGTGCTGCTCTCCTATTGGCTGGGAGGAGTTTAGTGGGGGAACTCGTCATATTTCCCTTTAGGGTCTGAAGCGCTGGTTAAAGCAGCGGAGGAGGAAATGTTTTAGATCCTAACCGGTGATCGGAGAGAGAAAACCGTCACAAATAACCTGAGGTAGGTGGGTTTGTTTTAGTATTTAGCAGCAGCTGAACATGGAGTCCGTTTGTTTCTTACCTGCTGCTTTGTTTATAATCTCACTCTGACGTGAAACATTCACAAGATTATCTGACTTCATTTGTGTTTTTTTTAACTGTCAGGAGCTTCAGGAAGAAATTTACTTTGAAACTTGTGACTGACTTTTTCACTTGAAACACAATGATTTCAGAAAATAATTTAATAGTAAGTTAGATTTGAAATCGTCAGATTTGGGAAAAGGCTCAACATAAAGGATCCCAAAGCATATGGAAGAATAAAAAAGCTGCTTATTATGAACAGAGATGCATGAAAAACCGATAAGATGATGTTTAAGAACAAAAACTGAAAACTAATCTGACTATTAGACTATTCATTCTGGAGTGGATGTTGACATAACATTTTTTCTAATTCTCAGTATAAATTTTTATTTTCTGCTTTTTGTTTGTAAATTTCTATATTTGTAATACTTAAAATATTTTATTTGTATATTTACCTGGTTGTTTGTATTTAAGCTTTATATTAAGTACTACTAGAAATTATTTAAATGTATTGAAATTATATCATGGTGTTCATCCTGAAAAACCTGATTTATTTATATTAGGTTTATTTTTTTAACAATTTTCTACAAACTGGAGGGAAAAATGACTGAGTTGCTTTCTGGTTTGCTCTTCAGATGTTTAGTTTACATGTTTTATGGATTTACTTTTATTTAATTAGTAGATTTAAGATAATTAAGAGCAAACAGACATGAATTTTAAATGTCAAACCCTCAGTTCATATCAAAAAGTCAAATCAGGAAGTTTCATTCATTTTTTCTTTGCATTTAATATGAAATGTATCTTTATTTTCTCAGCCTACAACATGTAAGGCACATTAAATTGGAGCACTTCCCTGAATAGTTGACCTGCTGAGTGACTGTACCGGTACCGACCCGGTCGGCTCTGTAATTTCCGGTCTCATTGTTTGCTTCATCATTTTGTGTAAAACTCAAGCGATGACGGTTGGCTACTGAAATCTGCGTGCAGTTGCTTGCCGGCGCCGTTGCAGACGAGGTGAAGGCAGGCAGGGACTCGTTTCTTTCTTTTGGGTCTGGTGAAAGTGTCAGCAGGTTGTTTTTGTGACGCAGCAGGAGGTTCTGCTGTCTGGTCCAGGCTCGGAATGAGCTCTGTCACACGGGGAACAGATGGTCGCTCTGCGCCCTCTATTGACTTTCTGAGCTGGGTGGCGGGGGCCGCTGCAGGCAAATATGGAGTCTGGTTCAAAGTATTGATTCCCCACATGAAAGTCCAGCGGATCCTGTTGTTTAAAGCCCAGTTTAACCAAGAGAAACAGCAGCTCAACATTGTAAACACATTGGTAAACATGCTACCATGGAAAACTCTATAGTGAAACATAATGGGGAAATAATTGAGTTTCAGGCTGATGTGGTCAACCAAAAAGATTGTTTTTAGAGTTTTTTCCATTTCTGATCTTTTTTTGGTAAACTGATGCCAAAAAATGCCAGCTTCGACATATAAAGGGGACCTATTGTGCAAAATACACATTGTTCACATTTTTATAGTTTTTACTGCTTTTAAAAACAGCCCAAATTCTTAAAAATTTATATATCTGGCCAGATTTTTTGGCAATAAGTTGATGTTTTTTTTTGGTGTCTGGAAAATGAGCATTTCCTTCCTGATAAGTTGTACAATAAGGGCAATGTGCCATTACCTAGCAACCCCAGCAGAGCTCTGCCTGTCTCCTAGCAACCTAAGCTGAGTTCCAGTTTACTGCTGTGTGCGCTGTACAATGGCTGCTGGGTGAGACAAGTGTTTTGTCGACTTGCCATCCAGAAATCACTTGCTGCATTCTTGTTTGTGCAGGAGTCCCTACTAATTCTTTTCAAAGATGTACAGTTGCAGAACTGCGTGGCCAGCAGCAGCTTATTTGCATTTAAAGTGACAGGAGGCTCTAAAACGGTTGATTCTGAATAAATCTCATTATTTGGGAATTATTTTGTCCAAAAACGTGGTGAACATGTTTTGTATAGCCAACAGATCCTAACCTGTTCAAGGGATGTTGAACTTTAACAGGTTGCTCTGTTTTCCTCCGTTTCAGCACTTTTTCCTGGACAGACTACAAACATGGCCTCCGTCGCGCCGTTCAGCCGCAGGCAGTGGGCATCGCAGTCGCTCAAGGTCACGGCCAAAGAGCTGTCCATCGTCTCCGCCCGAGGAAAAAACACCGCCATCGCAGAGCGCTTCTCCAAGTAAGTCCTGCTCATCAGACTTTTTCCCCACTTTAAGATCTGCCAGTGGAACTACAACGTTTTCATCAATATTAAAGAATTATTGGCTTAAAAGAAGCTCCTATCCACTGAAGAGCTACTTGTTATTTTCATCTTATTTCAAGTTTACTAAGATATTTGCTCTAAAAATTAGACCAGAAATACTTGGCAAGGTTTTATGTTTTTGCAGTGTAAACTTCTGGTTCTGATCCAGAAGTTTAATAATTCACCAGCAGCTGAACCGTCGCGTCGCTCTGAACTCATCAGCTGCTGAAACTGAATCGGATCCTGCTGCTCAGCTGCTTTCAGTTCTGTTTGCTCAGTTTTACACAGGGTTCATCAACACTTTCTATTTTTAAAAAAATGTTGTTTCCTAGTAGATATTTTGATGTTCTTTATGATAATATAAATATGGCACCATTCAAGCTTCTCCAGCTGCAGGTTGCCTCCCGACCTGCATGTTGGCGTACGAATGAGTGCATTTATCGTTTGTTTTTCTTAATATTTAGCTCTGGTTTCTAGAAGAACAGTGGCTAAAAGGGAGTAATGGGACCAGGCCAAGAAAAAAAAATAAAATTGAGAGGAAATGTTGTAGTGATTCGAGAATAGAGTCATAGTAATATGGGAACTCTAGACACAACAAAGCAATGTTGAAACTCTGGTTAAATAAGAAATGTTGAGCTTCTTGCAGTCGGTTTTATGAATAAGAAAATACTTAATCATTTAACACATCAGCATCAGATTATGTTTACTTTGTCTCGTTTTGTTTTTTTTCTTAGCCTGGCCCTAATGTGTTGCCTTTAGGACCAAAGTACATGTAGCTAAATTCTGAAAGGTTAATATTTGGCTACATATTGAGGTCAAATATTGACCATAGCCTGTTGTGGAGGTTGTTTTCCTCTGTTCCTGTTTTTCTGGTTTCCCAGTTTTCATGGCGTTTCCAAAGAACTTGACATGTTTAACACCTGAGATGCTTGAACTCACAAAGATTAATGGAAGACTTGACATGAAGGAAAACAGAAAAGTCAGGAAAATAACGGCTATTATCACAATAATATAACAATTTTGTCGTGTTCATGAATCAACTGATCTGCATAAATATGTAAACAAAGCAAAAATAACTTTTATTGTCTAAAAGTTGTAAACATCAGTCGGTTTATCCGTTTATTCATCAGTTTGTTTGTCTCTTCGGTCTGGTTTTTGCAGATGCAACATTCAGACATTTTGTTTATATATTGGAAACAAAATGGGGTAAAATGTCACAACTCTGGATATTTTAAATCAGGGATGCAGTGAAGAGACTGGAGCTCCAACTTTATCACAATTATGTTTAAGTTTAACTTGATTATTTAATAAACTAACAAACTTAATTGGATTACTTGTGACCAATTAATGCNATACNTTTAAGTTTGACTGTTTTTTTTTTTGTTTGTTTGTTTTTTAGTTCGTGTTTTGATTGTGCGGTATGGAAAATGAATAATGTTGTCTTAACAAACTTTGGGAAAATCCAAATGTTAATAATGAGGACCAACAGTTGACATATTACTGTTCTTTTTAATTTGTGAAATGATTTTGTGTGCGTTTTATTTTGGAAAACCCAGTTTTCTGTTGGGAGAGCAACGCATCATTGTCTGACTATATTTCCATTACCAGTGTTTATCCAGAGCTGGAAATTACTTCAGGCGATTTTCAAAAACTTTCCCGCTATTTTTAAAACGTGCCTACCAACCCGTTGCTCCAGTTTTCTACAAAACTTTATTTTGTAGAAGTGCTTCCTGTTGGTTTCTTAAATTGGCTGCAGTTTCTCCTTCTTACCACTAGGGGCCAGTATTGCTCTGCTTGCAGATGCAGCAGTTTGTATAAAACCACCCGACAAACCGTTGCTTTAAATATTTGTATTGCTTCGTGAGCAGATTATGAGACATGAAGGTGCATTAATCATTTGAGAGCATTTAAAGTAATTTTTTATTCTTGTTTTTAAAATGTTACTTTTTAAACGGTAAAGCCAGGTGTATTTTCCTAAGCCTTCAAATGATTCCTTCAAATGTAAAACAGTTCTAATTCTAGTAAAAAGGTTAGTTTCTCCAATATTTACAGTTTTTTTCTGGCACCAGTGGTCTTTATTTGCAGTATTCAGACCGGAACATGTCGAGGACTAGTGGCTTCCATTTGAATTTAAAGCAGTTGGTGAAACCAGATATTCCTCCATGTTTCTGGGAAAAAGGAAAATGAAAGCTGCCAAGTCATCCATGACATTAAAAAAACCTCCAAAATGCATCTGCTGAAGGAAACTCTGGAAGAAATCTAAACTAATCAAATAGAAATGTGCAAAAAAACAAAGTTGGCTGGAAAAAAACATCTTAACTGTCAAGTAATGTAAATATTGGCCACATTCGCTAAAAAACGTCTTTACGATAAAAAACGTATACATTCCCTAATAGTTGCACAATATATTCAACAAATTTTCTTTAGTTTATCGCTTCAGTCATCTTAAAGTTGCTGTTTTCTTTTTTTTTTTTCTTACTTGGATGGCACCTGAAGACTAAATGATCTTTGGATCAGCTGCTTCTGGTCCCCGTTGTCCATTAATGTCCGCCATGTTGCTTTTTTTCCTCCAGGTACCAGATGGCAGCAGAGGAGGGAAATGCAGAGAGGAAAAAAACGGTTGGTGATGAGCTTTATTTTTAATCGACGGATATCTTTTGGGCCTTTATAGCTTTCTGGTAAAAATATATCAAAGCTGCAACTGCAGTGAATAAAAAAACAAATAGTACCAGCTTTTTTTTTTTTTTTTTTTTAGATCAGGGATTCCCAAATCGCATTAGCTTCTGGTTGGAGACCAAATTTGTAAACCTACAGACAATGATGCAACATATTTAAACTATTGACTTTTTTTTCTGACTGTTCAATAATTATTACATCTGTTTAGCTTAAATGCCGCCTCATACCTTCTGATTTTAGTCGAACATGAGTTAAGGATTTTTTTAAATAAAAACTTGTCTTTTTTGTGCTACACTGCAAAAACATTTTTGGTCTAGTTTCTAGTGCAAATACAAACCGGATTCCAAAAGAGTTGGGACACCAAACACATTGTGAATGAAAACTGAATGCAATGATGTGGAGATGGCAAATGTCAAATTTTTATTCGTAATAGAACATAGATGGCAGATCAAAAGTTTAATCTGAGTAAGTGTAACATTTTAAAGGAAAAATATGTTGATTCAAAATTTCACAGTGTCTACAAATCCCAAAAAAGTTGGGACAAGTAGCAATCAGTGGCTGGAAAAAGGAAAATGAACATATAACAAACAGCTGGAAGACCAATTAATACTAATTAGGTCAATTGACAACATGATTGGGTATAAAAAGAGCTTCTTAGAGAGTCAGTGTCTCTCTGAAGCCAAGATGGTAAGAGGATCAGCAATTCCACCATTGTTGCACAGAAAGATAGTGCAGCAATACCAGAATGGTGTTACCCAGCGTAAAATAGTAAAGACTTTTAAGTTGTCATCATCAACCGTGCATAACATCATCAAAAGATTCAGAGAATCTGGAAGGGTCAAGGATCAAGGCCGTAAAACTCTACTGGAGGCTGATGATCTCCAGGCCCTTAAACGTCACTGCACCTCAAACAGGAATGTCAAGGAAACAACAGCCTGGGCTCAGGAATACTTCCAGAAAGCATCGTCGGTGAACACAATCCACCGTGCCATCCGCCGCTGTAACTCTACAGTGCAAAGAGGAAGCCATTTCTAAGAAGCTCCACATGCTCAGCCGTTTGCACTGGGCCAGGAGTCATTTAAAATGGAGGGAGGCAAAATGGACGACTGTTCTGTGGTCAGATGAGTCACGATTTGAAGTTCTTTATGGAAGACTGGGATGCCATGTCATCCGGACCAGAGAGGACAAGGATAACCCAGGTTGTTATCAACGCTCTGTTCAGAAGCTGCATCACTGATGGTCTGGGGTTGGATGAGAGCTGGTGGCCTGGGCAGCTTGCATGTCTGGAAAGGCAGCATTATTGCAGAGAACTATGTTCAGGTTCTAGAACAACATATGCTCCCATCTAGACGTCGTCTCTTTCAGGGAAGACCCTGCATTTTTCAACAAGATAATGCCAGACCACATTCTGCAGCAAACACAGCATCATGGTAGGAGAAGGATCTGGGTACTGAAATGTCCAGCCTGCAGTCCAGATCTTCCACCTATAGAGAACATTTGGCGCATCATAAAGAGGAAGGTGCGACAAAGAGGCCCAAGAGGATTGAACAGTTAGAGGCCTGTATTAGACATGAATGGAGAGCATTCCCATTTCTAAACTTGAGAAACTGGTCTCCTCTGTCCCCAGACGTCTGAGTGTTGTAAGAAGAATGGGAGATGCCACAGAGAGGTAAAAATGGCCGTGTCCCAACTTTTTTGGGATTTGTTGACGTCATAAAATTTTGAGTCAACATATTTTTCCCTTGAAATGATACATTCTCTCAGTTTAAACTTTTGATCTGTGATTTGTGTTCTACTGTGAATAAAATATTAGATGTTGGCACCTCCACATCATTGCATTCAGTTTTTATTCACAATTTTAGTGTCCCAACTTTTTTGGAATCCAGTTTGTATCTTATTATACTTGGAAAAAAGACAAAAATTAACTTGGAAGTCATTTTTCAGCTCATTGTATGTAAATAATTCCTCATTATTATTGACAAAAAGTACTTGCTCTACTGTCCTGTCAGATTATTTCACTTTTAACAAGGAAAAAATGTTGCAAGTGAAATAATCTGCCAGTGGATGCGATACTTTTTCATCAATATTATTCAATTAAATCAATTTCTGATATCTTGCTGAAAAGTTACTTGTAAGTTTGTTTTATTGCAAGTGTATCAAGATATTTGCACTAGAAACCAGACGAAAAATACTTGGTGAGATTTTGTTTTTGCAGTGTAACTTTGCACAAATTTGACTGGCAGTCAATCGGACAGATAAATAATTTTAACTTGTTTCTTACATTAATTGAAATACGGATTCTATTTCATAAGAAAAGAACGTTATAATTAAATGAAAAGTGGAAACTGAACAAATTTGACACTAAGTGGCAACAATTTAAGGAGTTTTTTTTTTTTTTGCTTTAATGCAAACCCCTTTAATTTTTTCTTTAATAAAAAATAGTAAATATACTAAAGTTTTGCATGTGCTCCTTGTTCTCAAACATGCATCATCAAGTTCATTGTGTATACAACATGTTTTTTTACCTTTGTTCTGTATGTAAAAATATCAATCAGAAAAACTTATGACAAAATATATTTTGTTATATCTTCCCTCTTCTGAGGGCCCCACTTTGAAAACCTTTTTGTTTTTAGATGACTGATAAAATCATAACTAATGCTGCTGCTTCAAAGCAGCTGATAACGCTCAAAGTTCAACAACCTCGGTGTCGCCGACTCCTAAAAGCTTTTTCTTCGACATGAAGCGGCGTTTCTGCAAACACAAGCTGCACTCAGTTTATATTTCCATCGTAACAAGATGGCCGCTTCCCTCGACCTCTGTGTGGTTCTGACTCACCCCGGCTGATTCGCATCAGAGTGAAATCCGTCCTGAAACGGATCAGTTTTTGCACGCAGCACGCTCGGCCTGTGGGCCGTCAGCTGAGCCACAATCGGCACGTCGTCGGGTCAGCTGAGGTTTCATCTCACAAGCAGCCAGTTGAACGGTTTTGTCCTGGTGGGTGAAATTAACCAGTTGGTTTTAGTTATTGCTCCAAAACTCTTGAGCTTCAAAACAAAGCTTAAAATACTTTTTATAGATCAAAGTAGTTGCACTGGCAGATTATTTCACTTGCAACAAGACACTTTATTTCATGTTATAACTTATGAAATGGTACATTTTCATCAGTATGAAGGTATTATGGTCACACTTTATTTGAAGGGGTGCATAAGACATGACACCGTCATAAATATGACTTAACGCCTGTTAGAGTCTTTATGAATGGCTGACTGCTGTCATGAAGTGTCATTCGGTAAGTAATGACATTTTAATGCAAAGTTGCTTTAAAAGTCCCATCCATATGTGCATTAAAGTGTTATTTACCGAATGACACTTCATGACAGCAGTCAGCCATTCATAAAGACTCCTTCATGTTCATGACGGGTGTTATGTCAGTCTTATGCACAACCCGTCAAATAAAATGTTACCATTTATTCCAAACAAGCCGCTATATCTTACTTATAGTTGCTTGTAAGCTAGTTTAGTTATTCTAAGTGTACTAAGATATTTGCACCAGAAACGAGACCAAAAATACTTGGTAAGATTGTGGTTTTTGCAGCAACTATGACGACAGTTCTCCAAGTATTATATCACAACCTAAACAAACATAAATATGAACAGGAAGACTCCTTAGAACCTGATTTATCTGCATACTGTCACCTGGTTATCAAAACAACTTCAGTTTTAAGTTTTGCAGCTCAATTGTTTCAAATCTTGAAATGAGTTCAGATTAACTCGGTTTGTGAGCTATGCATGCTCATCCTGTTGGAGTTTGAAGAAGTCAGAGATGGGATGTTGAATTTTTATTTTTTAGATAAAAGTTTAGAAAGCTGCAGGTTTTCTCCATTTCAACACGATCTGTCTAATCTCACAGCTACATGTTTATTTAGAGGCCTAAACAGGAAAGCTTTGCTGCAGATGTTCATTCATACTGCTGTCATTGTTGCGTTTAACTTTAAGTTTACGTTTGTTTCTCTCGTCTGAATCCATTGTGTTTAAATTAAATAATTTCCAAAGGAGGATTATCAAACATCCAGGTTCAGGATCTTTGCTGTTCTTGGAGTTTTTCTGCTGTTTTTGTTTCCCTCCCTCCAGGTTTCCAGCGTTACCTTTTCCTCATTTTCTGGACTTTTTTTTTTTCCTCACTGACTGTCTCTGTTTCTGATTTTCTCCCCCCGCCTGCCTTCACCTCCCCCGCGCTTCAGTTTCCTTCTTCCCTGCGTGTTGTAGGGGGTGGGCGAGTTGCTTCACGCTGCTTCATTCTGATCATTTCTCAAGCCTTTCACATCTGGGGCGGCTTGTGGCGTTTTCCTCCCTCAGACACGGCGTTTTACACGACCGCGCGTCGGCAACCGGACAGCCGGGGCGTCTGCATCACTCGCAGGTTTTACATCTCTGCTTTCTATCTATTAGAAAGTTTTTCTCCTTTTCTTTTTTTTCTTAAAATAAGTCTTGCAGCTGCAAAGTCATGCTGAGCAGCTCACAGTTTTATTTTTTTTATTTGACTTTTTAGTTTGTGGTTTCTGTTTCCTCTTCATGTCTTTTCCTCCTCTGTAGACTTTCTTTTTCGCAAACTCTGACTAAAGTTTGAGCTGCTTTTAGAGAATCAGGTGGTGAAAGTCCAACGCTGATGAACATTATTGAGCGAGCTGAACCCCGACGCCTGGATTTCTGTCTACAAAGGTTTGGGTTGATAATGAGTCACGATGGACCGTTTTGTTTGTTTAGCTGGCAGAGAAAAATGAGCCTCTCTGCTCCGTTTGAGTTCGTGTGCATCTGAAAGTTCTTTTTAATGCTGCACAGCTGCAATTTGAAGCTGATATGAAGATAATATCTGGTTTTGTTGATCTAAAAGATGCTGCAGCGTCATCTATTCACTGCTATTTTCCACATCTGCAGGCAGAACGTCTTTGTGCGACATACTGAGAGGAAACAATGCAGACTATTAGCTCAGTTTGTTGCAAAGTAAAACTATTTTAATGTTGTTTTTCTGCATGATCATTACACACGGCTGCAGCTTTTAATGGCGTCCAGATGAGCAAGAGAATTAAAAAGGCCAATAAAAGAAAGCGGGAGCATGTTGGGGATGTTTAATTCTCGTTCATGTTGCAACACAACCTTCAATGTATTCTCAGTCGGGGTTTTATGGGACCAGACCAACACGAAGTGGTGCAGAAATGTGAAGTGGAAGTCTAATTATGTATGGTGACTCCAACAATCCGGCGCAACAAATTGCGCATTTTTTAATCTCGGTTTCGATCCAGCTGTTCTGAGGAAGCGATGGAGGATGGGAAGAGTTTGATACAGCTGCAAACCAAAACCAAAACCGAGTGCACCAATCATTGAAGCAGCCAGGAGGGACATGGTGACTCTGTCCCAAATGAGCTGTGGACCTCTGCAGCTCCTCCAATCTGTTGCCATGGCAACTATTGGTCATGAATGCCACATATTTGGTCTTTTTTTTATTATAAAAAGGAGCGAAGGAGAACACAGGGAAGGAGCCTAACCTTAATGTACCCATCCTATTGTAAAACATGGCTTAGCAATAGATTAACTTAGTAATAGATTAATTGTTCATTGGAGAATACAGACGGAAAAATGCTATTTACTGAAAAATCAGGATAATCGGAGCAGTAATTAAGCCAAAAATGTACAAAAAAATAAAAATTTTGCATTTAAGAAATAAAAAAATCTTTGTAAATGTTCTTCTTAAAACTCAAGTAGCATTTTAGCTTCACTTTGTTCAAAATCTGTTAAATCCCCTATTAAGCACCTTTTGCTGTCTGATTATTTAATCCAAAAAACGATCAACAGATCATAAATACACTGTATTGATGAGCTGAGCAGAACAAAGGGATGAAATTTTCATGTAAAAGTATTTTTTTTTTTTTTTTTTTATTTTTTTAGTTGCAAATGCACCAAACAATGGTATGTTTCGATTTAGGCATTTTTTCTTATTTAAATAGCTGAATTTTGTTTCTAAAGCATGATAAATTCAACAAGTTTACTTTTAATTCTTTTAAATTTATTTTTCTAAAATCTTGAAATGCTCTTGGGAGCTGCATCTAAATCCATTTCGAATTGTCTAAAATAAGCCCAAGTGGTTAAATGTGCCATTTTTCCAATTAGAATAATTGATTACTAAGGTAATCTTTAGCTGCAGCTCTAGTTTGGATGTTTCTCTTCAGCAGGTGAGCTGATTGGAAACATGGATGGAGCTAAACATTGACTCCTTCCAGCAGGACGACAGCCTGAGATCTAGAGCTACTATGGTAGCCTTAGTTTAGGTTTATATCAGGTTTATAAATGAACTTTCAGCCTCTTTGCTGTGACGATCTCGCCGGGTTCTAGTAAAACGTGTGTCGACACGGTGGAGATCGTACAGAGATGCAGATTCTGGTGAAACATTCTTGAATGATAGAGTTTGAGGGCGAGTTGCAGCTGGTCTCAGGCATTTTGTTCCTGATTTTTCTGCGTTGAGTTGATGGGAAACTTTGATGGAAATTTGTTCTTTTGCACTTCATCATTAAACTAATATTGATCCGGTTTTAAAAAATGACCCTCTAGTTGGATTAGGTTTGATTCTCCAAACGTTTGACCTAATTCACATTTTTCTGCTGATTCACTTCAGAGTTGGATGATATGACTTAAAAATCTTTTTTTTTTTTAAATCCATATTACATCAGATTTCAATTGTTTTGCAGGTTTTATTTCTTTCCAAAAAGATTACAAATGACACTTTACCAAAAGTGTTTTTTATTTCAATCATCCCTTCTGTTAATAAGACCAGGATACTGCAAGAATATAACAAAGTTGCATTTTACTAGAACAAAATATCAAAAAGTTATTCAAGATCTTGTGTAACCATTTTTCTTCTAAAACAATTCTTTGCACAATTGTTTCAAAATCCTGATACTTTGATGTTGTGTTAAAAAATAGTGTTTCTATTAATAATCATTGTTTGTAAAACTGATAACTACACAAAATACTCAACAATCCTAATTTTTAGCTGTTTGGAGTTCTCATTAAATTACTTTATTCTCTGAATATTACAACTTTATTCTTGTAAAAAATAAAAATCTTAGCTTGACCCTTCTTCAAAAACAAAACAAACAAAAAAATCATGTTAATCTCTTGTTTCTACAACCTGAAAGTTTGTTAGCAGAAATTAGGATTAAGTTTTTGTTTCAGAAATGATTTGGTGTACTTTCACTCCAAAAACACAAAATCTTACTAATTATTTTTGTCTACTTTTCGGTGCAAATATCTTAGCTTTGTTTTATTTCAAGTGTACTAACTCACAACCAACTTTTCAGCAAAGATGCAGCGACTCGATTTGAGTCAATAATTCCTTAATCTTGATGAAAATGTGCCATTTCTGCTGGCAGATTATTTCATTTATATGGAGAGATTTTCCCGTCTTCCAAATGAAATAATCTGCCAATAAGACTAGAACTTTTTCATCAACATTAACAAATGTACTTGAATCGAGCTGCTATAGCTTTGCTGAAAAGTTACTTGTAAGTTAGTTTTGCCTTATTTTACATCTACTAAGGTATTTGCATCAGAAACTAGACAAAATAACTTGGTAATATTTTGTGTTTTTGCAGTCTTGGAGTTAAATACGTAAATCAGATGATGCAAAACAAAGTGATTTGATTGAAGTGGATGTTTTGTTGCTCTCTGCAGGTTGTGGAGCCTCTTCCATCCTCTGTGTCTGGTGGAAATCTGAGTGTTTTAAAGAAACGTTGGGAGCAGCAGCAGCAGCCGTCCACGTCCCAGAGCCCCAGCAGCTCATTGCTGCTCACCAAACCCGCGTCCCGTTTCCAGACCCAAAAGAAGGTCCTGAGATCTGCAGGATCCTCTCTGGAGGTTCACCCCGAGAACAGAATCGACCCGTTGACGGAGGAAGCCGAAGACCTGATGGAGATGGAGGCGAAGCCCGGCAGAGAGGTGGAGGAGGAGGCCGCAGCAGCTGAGACGTCCGACATCGAGAAGCCCAGCGTTCCCATCAACAGCCTGAAGATGATGTTTGAGAGAGGAGACGCCCCTGACGAGGCGAGTCACTTTCCCTCAAAAGTGAATCTGAGTGCGCAGTGAGGCTGACGTGAGCGCGCATAACCAAAAGGTGACCTATTGTGGTCAAAACATTTTAGTAATTTTTTGGACAAAATTATTCTCAGATAATCAGATTTTAATCTGGTCAGTTTACATTTGCACTTATATAGTGGCGTGCAACTATACAGTATGCGTTTGAAAAGCAAAAGTAGAGCCTGCTGCACAACCAACAAGATGCAGCAAGTGGTTTCTGGATAGTAAGTCAAAAACGCGCTCGTCTTTTCCAGCAGCCATTGTACAGAACAGATGGCAGGAAAACCAGCTGACCAAATGTGCTGGAGCTCAGCTTTGGTTGCTAGGTAATGGCGCAGTGCCTTCTGATTTGTGACGTTTTATTCAGAAGGTTTTTGAAATGGCTCTCTTTCCCCAACATAAAAAACATTAACTTCTTGCCAAAAACTTCAGTGTTTTTTATTTAAGTATTTGGGCTGGTTTTAGAAGCAGTGGAGACCAAAATAGAAGCTCAAGAAATGTGGTTAAGTATACAAATGTTTACTTTTTGAATTTCAGGTAGTATTTCAACTTTTCTTGAGCAACTACGTGACGTATAAAATATTTTAGTTTTACGTTTGAATTTAAGAGACCCACTTAAAACAGTTCAGGTCCCACACGCTTTAAAAACAAATGCTGCACCACTGATTCAACCCAAAACGGATCAAAACTTTCTTTTAGTCAGAGCAACATCTTACAGATGATGTAATGCTTCATCCGGCTTTCAAACCGGATGTACAAGAGTTGACAGGAAGCGATCTAAAAAGTGAGTCGAGAAGCTACCGCTTCACGTTTTCCTGAAGCTAAAAATACATTTCAACTTATTGAAGAATCACTTTTTTTTTTTGTCAGAGGTCTAGTCTTTCCGGTGTGTTCATACTTTCGGTCACATGGTGCAGCCTCGCTGCATGCCCCTCTGCTTGAACACACACACCCTGACTCAGCTGACAGCCAGCATCTCAGGCCGACTCCTGCTTCATACTCCCTCAGGCCGCTAATTGTTGTTTGTTGAGCATAAAAAGGAGGAATTTACCATCCGATCATGTGTTTTCTTTAAGGCATTGCAAAATGTTATTGCATTAGATGTGAAAACGTGGTGCAACGCTGGTGGTTTGTCTAACTTCTGCAGCCGGTCGGTGGTCGCTCAAATAAAGTCTTAACTAATCAGATAAATTATGCATGATCTTTAATTTATATGCCAAGTCTTTTCTGGACGTTTTCCTTTAGCTAAATTGTCTTTTAGGTGTATTATAGCTGCAGGTTACATGGTTTTCTGAACTGGAGAGTCTGCAAAGTTTTAGTTAATGGTGCAATTTATAGCTAACCCAACTTGGTTTGAGATATTTGTGTTTTTTTTCCCCTCTAAAGCTTAACTTGTTGAAACCTTTTATGTCACCTGTCAGTTGTGAGCGTTTCCACTGCAGGGTCCAAAGCCAGGCTGATTCAGTAGATGGCAGAAGGTTTGGAAACGGATTTTTCCTTACAGGCATCAGCAGAATGTGACTCAAATACAGGGAATTAAGCCAGGTTAGCCTTAATGTCTAGTTGTTTTATAGCAGTTATGGTTTAAAAAGAAAGTACTGTCCCTCCAAACTGTAGAAACGTGAAACTGGAATGTTTTCTAAATAATTTTCAGTGTTTTTTGTTAGAAAATAAAAAGCTATGGCTACAGAAATGACTTTAACCCTCGACTCTAACACAGTGATTAGTCTTTACTATCTTAGGTAGTCACTCCAAATCAGTGGTAGGACCTGTTGGTTGAGCTAACACTAAAGAACTAAACGTAAAGCGCGATACGTTAGAAACATTGTACGTAGCTAAAGCGTTAGCACCCACCATGTATCGATAACTCGTGTTTCGTCCTCAAACGGGTCAAACTTACAACTGTGCGTTTCAGGAAGTGATTCTTTGGAACAGATTTCGGTTTTATAGTGTGTATTGCCAACTATCAATTTTGCATGCAGCACAATAGTAGATTTTAATCTGGAAATGGAACAGTCTTCACCTTCTTCAAAAATAAAAGCATGACTCTAAACCTCTTGAATAATTTTTAAGTCAATAACAAAAACCTTTCGAGTTAAAGGCAGCCAGGAAAATTGTCACTTTAGAATTAGAGCAACAAATAAAACTTTTCAGTTTTAATTAAAAAAAACTTTACACATTTTGTCAACAATTTTGGCCCTAATGGATTAGAGTATATGCAGATGATACTTTAGTTTGGTCATAATTTTCTCTTCCGTCTCCTGACTCCTGTTTTTACTCTCCACATCCCACCAAACTCCCACGAAGGCTTCTGAAACATTAGCTGGGAACACGCTGCGGGGTCTGGGGGGCTTTTTGCGAAATGTCTCTTTTGGACTCCATGATCCAGATCAGCGTGTGCGATCGACACAATGGCCTCCACTGTATGACCGAACCCCTCTGCCGCTTTGTTGAGCTTCAGAGGGTGGATGATGTAATGCTGCAGGCTCATGACTGCAGACAGCTGATCTGTTGCCTCTTCAGACCATCTTCCTCCCCCTCCAAAGGCCAGAAAAGCCCCTCCTCCTCCTCTTCCTCATCATCAATCACCCCTGAGCTTCTCTCCCTCCTCGTCAATCTAAACCCTGTTTTTTCTCTGGCCGTCCCTCCCTTCTGGTGCTGCTTTTGGTAGCACCGGAAACTTTTCTTTTCCATCTGGTCTTGTTGAATCAACCCATCGGATGGCTATGAGAGCATATTGGGGCTAGGAAGGAATACTTAAATTACAAGAATAAAGATGCAATATTATGTGGAAAGTCAAATATTGCAAGAAAATGATGGCAAATTAAGTTGTATTACCAGAACAGTCATATTATTGGAGTAAAATCATATAAAAAGTAAAAATAATACAGATGTGATGAGAGTTGTAATATTAAAAATAGTCACATTACTAATGTAGTCATGTTATGTCGTAATGCTACAAAAATAGTTATATTGCAAGAGTAGTCGTAATACTGAGAAACTCGACACGAAAAGTCGTAATTTTACTGAAATGGTACGATAATACGAGAAACTGGATATGAAAATAGTTGTATTACAAGACAATAATTAAATTTCTCTTTGGGATCAATAAAATATTTTACAACTTTCTTCTGGTCACATTGTTTATTCTGCTAATAAAACAACTTTATTCTCGTAATTTAAAACAAACATCTTAATTTGGCTCCCGTCAAACCAGGCTGCAGAATAAGTTTGTTTGGTTATTTTAATATTTCCAGTTCTGCATTAAATCAGTGAAGTCGTCTTCACCGTGTTCCAGTTTAATTCCAGTCCCTCTGATTTAGTTTGAGTTTCCCAGCAGTTTTAATCCTCCCACTGGAAATTGTGCAATTTGGCTTCAAACAAACTGAACACGCCGGAACAATGAAGCTCGACGTTGAGAAGCGCAACTTCTCTGCAAAATCAGAAACCAGCGAAGATTAAACATTTTTCTGGATTTTGAGTCACTGACGACCTCTACAAGGAGGGAAAACCACAAAAAAGGCTTCGCTGAAGAAGCTTGTTGATGTCTAAGAATATAAAAAAAAAAGTTGAGTGGAAGGAAAAAGTGTGGTAGGGAAAGATAACCGCAGCCTTGAGAGGATTGTTCTGCAAAATCCATTCAGGAATTTTAGTTGTCATAGTTGTAACTTCTGAGTTGTACCATTTTATGTCCAGAAGATTGATGTAACAGTGTTTTTTTGTTTTATAACTCTGCTTTAAGCATCTCTGCGTTTTCTCCTGACCTGTCTGCTTTGTTTTGTTTTCATGATGCTCTTTGTTCGCCAACAAACCTCAGAAAAACAGCTGGGATTAACCAGGACATAAACTGCAGACTAATTAGACTTCTGAAGGAATCAGAACGGAGGAGGACGAATAAAAACGCATCAAGCGCCGTTTGAGTTTATTCTTAAAAACTGAAAACTATCATTTTTCCTTCTAAGTTGTCATTTTGTTTTGATTTATAATATAAAATCCAAAAAGTACAAACTTTTGTACTTTTTTTTTTAAAGTGAGAGGAAACATTTTAAAAACTATTTACCCGTTTGTTTTTTAAAGCACCAAATCCTTTTTATATTTTGGATTGTCAGATTCATCTTTTACCAAAATGTGACAACTTCATTAAAATATTGTCTAATTTGTACATTACTGAAAAGATAAAAGCAAAAGTCTTAAATGTGCTCTCAATTTGACATTTTTGGCATGAATGACAGAACATCCCAATATTTTTAAATAAAATAAATTTTGGTAAGATTTTGTTTTCGCAGCATGTGAAACTAGAACTTTTTCATCAATATCCAACACTTGTCGACTTAAATAAGCTCCTATTTCTTGCTGAAAAGTTAAGTTTTTGTCACCTTTAAAGTGCTCAGATATTTTGCACTAGAAGCTACATTGAGGTTTTGTTTTTGCAGTTTGGTTAAATCAACTCATTTGATCCTGGATTTTGCAGTGAAGATCTTGTAATCATTTTTGGAGCATTTGGCTTGTTTGGATCCAGACTCTTCATCTTCCTCCTCTTATGTAAACATCCCTCACTCGCCCCTCTCTCTCTCCACATGGAGTCGGCAGACGCTCTGAAATTAATTGACCCTCCTCCCTCCCTCACAGACCCCGTCTCCTCCCCTCCATTATTCCGAGTCGCACCCCGTACCAGCTGCTCCTCCTGTCCCACATCACTCCCCGCAGTCTGATTCCCTCTAAAGCCGGTTTCATTTTAATAGCGCCACCTCAGCCACTCCCTCCTTTTGAACACCTGCTCCCCCCGTCGCCTCTTCCTCCTGGTCCGACGCAGACCCTAACCCACATCTCCATCAGAGCCTCAGCGACCCGCTTCCTCCTCGCCGCTTTACCTCCTGCTTTGTCTGCGCCAAAGGTAGCTACTGTTTCTGTCTCAGGTTCATGATTTCCTTTCTGTAAAGTTCCTCTGTTGGACTTTATCGATTGGGTTTTTTATCTGGGAGCATTGCTGCGTCTGCAGACTGAACTGTCCTCTTTGTTGTGGTTCGGCTCGGAGTAAACTGTGTGTTTATGGGAGGCGGGGAGCGGTCTGTCCGTCCGTCCGTCCGTCTGTCTGTAGCAGAGCTTTAATGGGGTTCAGATTAGCATCGGATCCTTTGTCTGGCCGGTGCTGCTTGTTTACACTGACACCCCCCGTGTGTTTATGCATGCAAACCATCATCAGACCCC